CAGGTATACAAAACCAGCACCCCCCCACTTCCCTTGCCTCTGTTGACATTCTTCTGATAACCAGGGTTTATGTGTCAGGTTGCAATGCTCACACATTCAGCTGTGCTGCTTGCAGGGTGTATGTGTGTGTGTGTGTGTGTGTGTGTGTGTCTGTGTGTGTGTGTCTGAGTGTATGTGTGTGTGAGCATCAATCAGTTGTGGGTGTGCACATGCATTCACAGGCATGACTCACATTCTGGTTGTAATGCTTGCTGGACTCACGCTCCTGGCTGCAGTGCTCACCTGTCTTTTGAGTTGTGTTGGTGGCCAAGGGTCTGACTCATGGCAGTGCTCGCACACATCTAACTACAGTGCACCAGAAAGGGCTTGTGGTGCTAGGGATCTCAGCAGAACTGTCCAACACAGACAAGATCATGCTTGGCACATGCGGCTGCACTGGGGGTAGGACCTGTGGTCTCATGCTTGCAAGGTAACCACAGCCAGCCAATCACTGCTCATTACCCTGAAAAGAATTCTTTGATTTTTTTTGGGGGGTGGCAGTGCCAATGATCTAAATTGGGACCTAGCAAATACAAGTTAATTGTTGTATTACTGAGCCTCATCCAGCCCTAAAATACTAACAGAGCTTACGATATAGATGGACAATACAATTGCAGGATATTTTGATATATCACTTACTCCAGTGAATTTCTTGTTATTCAATTATCAAGAAAAAATAGATTTCAAAATGAAGCGACCAATGATATAAAATTAAAACAGATAAACACAAAAGATTTCATCCTGAAAGAAATGAATAGGGCCAGGGAGAGAGCTCAAAGGCCTGGGTCACATGGCTGACAGGGAGGAGGCAAGAATTTCACCCTCAGCACCACATTCCCTGGCCCAGAGCACCACCTAGGAGGCCCAATCTCCATATAACTAACACACAGTCTTCTCGAGTACACACAAAATATTCTCTAGGATATATATGTTGAGACACAAAGCAAGTTTTTCCTTTTATTTTGGTGATGGGAAATGAACCCTAGAGCATCAAGTGTATAAGGGAAGAGCTCTAATGCTGACTTTTAACTGTACCTAGATAAAAACAAATGTGAAAAGATCAGGATCATATCACGCATCTATTACAATTATAATTGCATGAGCAATTAACAATTAAAAAGACTCAAATATGTGGCAAGCAAAACATGCTTCTGAACAATTCCTGGGTAAGTGAAAAAATCAAAGGGGAAATAAATTACCTGAAAAAAATAAAAATGAACCAATGAGCTGTCAGACCCTAAGAGATATAGTGAAAGCAATATTAAAAAGGAAATTGACAGCAATACAAACCCACATCAATAAGCAAGGAAAGGAGCAATAGTACAACAGTTAACCCGGTTTTAATTGTGGTACACATACGGTCCCCTGAGCATTGCCAGGAGTGATCCCTGAGCCAGGAACAAGTCCTGAGCTCCAGGTGTGGCCCAGAAACAAAAATAAAAAAACATTTCATCTCACATCTATGAGAATGCCCTATTCAGAAGACTGGAGATAACAAATGTTAGTACATACTGTTAGCGGAAATGTGAATTGGTACAACCTCTATGGAGAGTATAGATTCACTATCACGATCACGATCACGATCATCCTGTTGTTCATCAATTGCCTCGAGCAGGCACCAGTAACGTCTCCTTCGTCCAAGCCCTCAGATTTTAAAAAAGTGCCATATTCAAGGCTCTTTCAGGTTTAGGAGAATGAGACCCATCATTGTTACTGGTATTTGGCATATTGGGTACGCCACGGGGAGTTTGCCAGACTCTGCCGTGTGGGCAGGTTACATTCGGTAGCCTGCCAGGTTGTCCAAAGTAAGAATAAGATTCACTATAACTGGAAAGAAATGCCTTTTGATTCAAGTGCTGTAGCTCCTATACATTTATGAGAAAGATATGAAAATGTCAATTTGAAAAGGTATCTGTACAATAATCACAGCAAGAGGATTCACCATACCTAAATCATAGAATCTACCCAAATTCCCATCTGCAGATGACTAGGGAAAGACGCTACCAGATGTAAAGCCTGAAGCCGATAGTATTCTAATAGAACAGAGGAGGCCATGCCACTCGTGACAAAACGTGGGACTTGAAGTGCGTTTGTTAAATGACTTAAGTGAAAATAGTTACTGGGTGGTCTCACTCGTGTGTGGAATATGATCAAGCAAAAAACTGGCAAGATGCAACAAAACAGACTCCTAGATTTGGTGAAATCAATGGCCGTCATTGGAGGGAAATGGGAGGGTTAAGGGGTATTTTCTCATGGTGGGTGGAGAGAATTCTATACCCAGATTTGTTAAGCTGTTTCACTGAAACTTAATATTGTACATTATAGCACAGCGGTAGGGCATTTGCCTTGCACGCAGCCAACATGGCCGACCTGAGTTCGATTCCTCCGCCCCTCTCGGAGAGCCCGGCAAGTTACCAAGAGTATCTCGCCCGCACGGCAGAGCCTGGCAAGCTCCCCGTGACGTATTCAATATGCCAGACACAGTAACAACAAAGTCTCCAATGGAGACGTTACTGGGCCCGCTCTAGCAAATACTGTACATTAATAAAAATTAACTCAAAAAAAGATGGGAGTAGAAAATAATGAGTGCTTAAAGCAAAAAATTCATTTTGGAAGTTGAATGCTTATGCTTTTGGTTATTTTTTGTTTTGGGGATATGTCCAGCAGTGCTTGGGGGTCATTCCAGGCTGTGCTTGGGGGACCACATGGTACCAGGGATTGAATTCAGGCCTCTAGTCCTTGAGCCCCCTAAATATTTCTTCTTGTGAAATACTGCATAGATAGTCAGAATTTCTGAACCTCAGATTACATCTATAAAACAGAGTAATAGTTTCTTCATTTTAGAAAAATGTGAAAACGGACTGGAGAGATAGTACAGCAGGTAGGGCACTTGCCTTGCACATGGCTTATCCGGGTCAACCCCCAGCATCCCATATGGTCCTCTGAACACATCAGGAGTGATTCTAAGAGCAGGGCCAGGAGTAAGTCCCGAGCACCACTGGGTCTGGCCCCCAAACCAACCAACCAAACACACAGCAATGACAAAGTGAAAATCTGCAGTTATTGAAGACAGTGTTCAGCAGAATACATGCTTAATAAGTGACAGTTATTGTTTTTACTTTTGCTCACATTCTTCAATCTTCACAGGAATCATTTTATGTTGTGGAACAATTTCTCCAGTGTTTACAAAAAGAACTCTCAGGAATATTAGACACCATTTAAGAAAAATGCTTGTGTTTGCATATATGTGTATTTTACAAAAATGATAAACAAAAACAAAAAAACCCTTTTACTTTTAGACATTTGTTCAGTGAAAAATTCTGAAGGTGATAGTTCAATCCCAAATAATCCCTGAATAATCCAGATGTTACAACACAGATATGTATATAGACTACTATATTCCTGATATTTAATGTAATCCAAATTCTCTAAACAATAATCTTTCAAAATTATACTCTTCGGGGCCAGGGAGATGGTACAGTGGATAGAGCACTGAACTTGCATGCACCTGACCAAGTTCAATCTGTGGCACCACGTATGATCCCCCAAGCACTACCAGGAGTCACCCTGAGTTCTAAGCTAGGAGTAAGCCCTGGGCATAGCCAGGTGTGGGCCAACCACCCTGCACCTCCCAGCCCCTGACAAAAATAAAAATTATACCTTTAGCTTACAAATTCCTATTTATCTAGTTTTTATAAAACAGTATTTCAGGGCCAGAGAGAGTAGAACAGGTGGAGTGTTCACCTTGCATGTGGCCAACCCACATTCGATCCCTGGCACCACCAGAAATGATCAGGTGAGTGCAGAGCAAGGAGTAAGACCTGTACTCTACTGAATATGGCGCAATGAATTAAAAAAAGCTGTTATTTCAAGCCTCTTAAAAGAGAAAAGTGAAATTTGCAATCAAAACCCTAATCAAAATACATCAGATCACCACAATGTATATGTAGGATAACATTAGTTTATCCTTTCTGCCTTGCCACAGGGAGCTTAGGTTTATTAGGTTACTCCCATCACAGTGCTCCCATTCCTGTTTATTTGTAACCTTTTCCTTTTTGTTGCTAACTTGTAAATATTGCTTTTCTCTTCTTAAGTCCTTTGCATAGTTTATTCAGAGCAATGTTCTTTTTGTATAGACACAGGAAGACAATTAATGCTATGCTTTTGTAACTTGGGAGGTAACTGACTCCAAATGATATTCACCCCTGGCTTCTGTTCTCTTAAGCCTCAGTTGCCCTTACTTCCTAGTCCCCAAAAGCAGGGTTCCAAGGAGGGACTGGATGGACCCAGGGCAAGCAGTGAGCTACCTTGGCATCAAAATGGGCCAGGTCAAAGTGCCATAATACTTAGCTATAAATTAAGAGCATGGTCATGGACAAATTCTGTCATGATCCAAAAAGTAATAATCAGATTTGGACCCTACTAAGGTGGGAAAGATTAATCTGGCCTGAGCACTGTAGTCTGAGATCTATAGCGAGATGTCCCCAGGAGAGCCACCCTACAAGCTCAATGTATCTCTTACTGTGTCCATACAAAATAACTAATATTAAGAAGTAGAATTAAGATGTTAATTAAGTTATTGGACAAAGGAGAGGAGAAAGACCCCTAGGTGGTATTTCCACCCTTGGGCCTGATGGGCTATCAGGAAGGGCTTTTGATATGTTGATTGTGGTACCTGACCGGGTGGGTATCTACCCCCAATGCAGGAAGTTGGTGAGACTAGAGTGACCAGGGCAACAAGATAGAGCGCAGAGAGACTAGCAAGGGGGACAGAGAGAGAAGAATGTAGGGAAACAACGCAGGAGTAGGCACGTGGAGAGAGAGCCGCGGGGACTCTCCCTAGCTGTAGCTGCCTGGAGATTACACACATATATTGGAAATATTTTTTTAAATTTTCTTACATATACCTCAATAAAACTGAAATATAAAACAAAAATGAGAAATTGAGAAAGAGCAAGGAGTCTTGTATTCATCATTTATTCAGAACAACAACAACAACAGAATATATTTATATTTTCCCCTAAAGAGAATATACTTTTTATGAAATAGAAGATTAGTTGTCAGGAGATGCTTTTGGAGAATGATCGATAAGCGCCTTATCAATGGTTGGATACTGATACCAGGGACCATCACCTCTCTCACGCATTAATTTTCGTACTTCCAGCTCCTTTAACCTGTAATAAACGGAATAGCAATATTGTGATTTCAACACTGCTACTTACAAATGTAAAGAATTAGCTCCAGAAAAGAATAATCAAAATTTTTATATCTTATATGCAGTGGTCATCCCTCCAGAGACTCTGGCAGATGCATTTCTTTGAGAAAAATATCTAAAACATTCTTTTATTTTCCCTTGAGAGACAGTTACAAAGTTGTTTATGATTGGGTTTCTGTCATACAATGTTCCACCACCCATCCCTTCACCAGTGTACATCTCCCACCAATGTTCTCAATTTTCCTCCAGCCTGCCTCTATGGCAGGCACTTTTCTTCTTCTTCTTGTTGTTCTTCTCCTTCCCTCCTTCCCTCCCTCCCTCCCTCGCTCCCTCCCTCCCTCTCTCTCTCTTCTCTCTCTCTCTCTCTCTCATTGGGCATTATGATTTGCAATACAGATACTGAAAGGTTATCATGTATATGCTGAAATTATTTTTCTGAGCAAAATTTGCAAGTTATTTTTGACTAGTTAGCTAATGATTTTTCTTTGCCAGAGTGAGGCAGGGAAGCTCCTGGCAGTGCTTGGAGACCATTCGGGCTATACCTGGCTGCTCTCAGGGATTTACAATCGTCAATTCAGGTATTTTAACAGTTATGCCTCAATATATATTTTCATCATTTGAATTCACACATCTCTTCTATTGTCCCTCCTCTTGATTCGGGCAGATGACTTTTGTTTGCAAAGTGTTAATGTACTTCTGGTCTTCTCTTGCCATTTAGATGCTAAGGCAGTTATTTACAAAATGGCCTGCTCTTGAGGCCATATGCTGTGCCAAATGCTAGCAAATAAAAAAAGAGCAGTAGAGGCTCACATCCTGTCTACACTATCCACCCATCACCGCTAGGACAGAAAACCTCTTGAGAGCAGAAAGGTCATTTTTAATCACCTGCACACTGTGCCTGAACCAGTCAGGCAATTAAAATTATGAAGAAAAAAAGAAAATCAGAATTAAGAACAACATTCTCCATCTCTAAGATCTTGGTGCACGTTCCCATCCTTCCACAAGCTGCACTTTTCCTCTCCAAGAAACAAAACCGCCTTTCCATGTTTTTAAATAGGTTCTATGCAGTAACTACATATCGACGTAACAACATCTAGAGAAACAATCCAATCTATATGTTCTTATGGTCACTCAAATGTTTCAATACTTTCACTCTCACATCCATTTTTATAAAGTACAGAAGAGAATTAAATAAAAGTAGATGAATGACAGGCCAAGAACCAGGGGTTAAAATGGACTGGAATGGACAGGGCAGAGACTCATCAAATGTCTCAGAAAATGACCCTGACTGAAGCAGTCACACCACTATATACTTCTATCAAACACTCGCTGAATTTAATGGATACATCTGACCATACATAACCCCACCTGAAACACTACAGTATTGCTCATACCAAATCAATTTATTTTGGGGGGGGGGGGGAACCTCCCAAATAGTGTTCAGAGGGCCTTGGGGTCACCCCTGGCAATACCTGGACAAATGGGCTGGATAGTGCAAGGCTTGCTTGGAGCCACTAGTACCACTCCAGCGGTAAAAATGAGCCTCCAGGGCAGTATCTGGCAGACCTCTGGAGCCACACAGCCCAGGGCAAACTCAGGTCCTTGCATCAGCAAGGCACATGCCCTTGATCCCCAAGCTACCTCTCTGACCCTAAGATCAAGTCTAGAAACAGAAAGAGGAGGCTAGAGAGAAAGTACAGTGGGTAGGGCACTTGTCTTGCATACAGCTGATCCAGGCTTGATCCCTGGCATCCCATATGGTCTCCTGAGCAGAGGCAGGAGTAATCCCTGAGCATTCCCAGGTGTGGCCCAAAACACAAACAAGCAAAACCACCAAGAAAACCTCCAGGGAGCTGGAGCGATAGCACAGCAGGTAGGGCGTTTGCCTTGCACAAGCTGACCTGGGTTCAATTCTCAGCATCCCATGTGGTTTCCCCAAGCACCGCCAGGAGTAATTCCTGAGTGCAGAGCCAGGAGTAACCCCTGAGCATCGCCAGGTGTGACCCAAAAAGAAAAAAAAAAAGTGAAGAAAAACTGAAGTGGAATAAGGTGAAGTGTTCCTAAAACACTTAGGAGAATCTTGTCAGTGCAAATATATTTGCAAGATAATACGTATTTTAAATACGTAACATTTTTTCTAGGAACATAGGTTAAGAAATAGAGGAGTCGCCTCTGGGACGAGACTGTGGGTAGGAGGACATTGAGGGGAAGGAAGGAAAGGAGGGATGCTGGCATTTAGGAGCAGGCTAGTTTGGGGCCCCAAAGGGTTGGAGCCTTATTCAATCCCCAGCACTGCTTGGCCCCTAAGTACCAGCAAGCTGGTTTGGGTGGTCCTGGCACCACTGGGCCAGAACTGCGCCGTGTCACCAGCCGAGTACTGACCCATCAGGCTATGCTGTTCGGTATAGGCCACTGCTGGTCACTGGGACGTGCCCTTCTCCCCCAAAGATCAGGATATTAAATGAGAGAATTCAAAATCTCCACTCTGAAAAGACAAATTCTTTTCCCATGAGTTTTACATTGAGAATCCTAACGTATTTAAATCCTTCATTATTTTTTTCTTGCAGGATAGTGCGCAGCCATTAGCGGGAATTTTTAATTTCGCTACCACTTGGAACTAGAGCACGTCACATTAAGTGACACAGTCACGAGGAGGGCTGACACAGGAATGTCCCTCACAGGGCACATGAGAAACATGGCAAGAGAAGGAACAACAGAGAAAGGAAACACGTCCTCAGCCTCTGACAATGGAACTGAGGTCACCGGGGTGGGGTGGTATGGTAGGGAAGAGGCAGATCTGACGCACCTAGGATAATGCTAGAGGGTTTCTGGGAGATTTGGTGGTGGAACAGTAAATTTATATACCATAAGCATAAAATCATGTTACCTCAGTGACAATAACAGTGTCTTATAAAATATTTTTCTTTGGCTTTACAATCATTTGAAGAATTTTCTTTCATACCTCCTCGTCCCCCCCCCATTTATTATTATTATTATTATTATTATTATTGTTTTACCGTAATTCAGCCTTTTCAGCTTCAATTTGAAGAACAGCCATTGTTTTTTCATAATTCTTTTCAGGACAATCAAAGAAAGTCCGTGCAATCCATCTTGATATAGGATGCTACAAAATAAAAATTTTAAGTTGTTTTTAAAAATAATTCACGATCATGGTTGGAAGCTTGCTACAAGTATGTGGGGGGTGTAGAGGGTAGTTAGGATAAGAGAAAGGACCACCATGACAATAACAGTTGGAAATGATCACTCTAGACAAGAACTGAGTTCTGAAAGTAGGAATAATCAGGGTAACTTTTCAGTATCTGTATTGCAAACTATAATGCCCAAAAGGAAACAGAGAGAGAGAGAGAGAGAGAGACAGAGACAGAGACAGAGAAAAAAAAGAGCGAAGAAAAGTGCCTGCCATAGAGACAGGCGGAGTGGAGGGGGGGTGGGAGGGAAACTGGGGACATTAGTGGTGGGAAATGTACACTGGTGAAGGGACAGGGTTGGAATTTATAACTGAAACCATATCATGAACAACTTTGTAACTGTGTACCTCACTGTAATTAAAAAAAAAAAAAACAAAATTAAAATGGCCATCTTATTTAAATCAATTTAGAGATTCAATGCAATCACTATCAAAATGCCAATGACATTTTCAAAAAATGAAACAATTCTAAAATCTGTATGGAACCACAGAAGACCCCCAGAGTCAATTCTGAGAAAAGAAACTGGGACACCACATTCCCTGACTACAAACTATATTACAAAACAAGAGTAATTAAAACAACATGATATGGCAGGGCTGAAGAGTTAGAATGAGGGCAAGTGCTTGCCTTGCATGCAACCAACCTATGGATTGGAATAATAAACATTATTATTAATTCCTGGCAACACTATATGATTCACTGAGCTCCACCAGGAGTGATTCCTGAGCACAGGTAGGTGTGGCCTCAAAACCAATCCCCCTCCCCTCAGAAAAACTTATAAACAAAAATGAGAATAAAAAAGGACACATAGACCAGAGGAATAGAATTGAGAGCAACAGAGGAATAGAACAGAAATAAACTCACCCAACACAGACATCTAATCTATGGCCCAAAAAGCCATGTTCATACAATGAAGGAAAGTTTCTTCAATAAACGGTGCTGGGAAAACTGGACAGCTTATATGCAACACTTTAAAACTAAATCATTACTTAACATTACACATAAAAATTAACTAAAAATTTTTTCATTAAATTAGATATTAAACCAAAACCACAAAAAACATGGAAGGAAACAGGTGGCAAACTGGAGCACAACATTACAGATGGCTCTGGAGATCCAACCCCATTGGCGAATGTGACAAAAGCAAAACAAATGGCACTACCTGACCTCAAAGTGTCTTTAAAGTTAAAGAAATTATCACGGGCTGGGGAGACTGTACAGTGGATAAGGCACTTGCCTTGAACACAACCAGATTGGGCTCAATCCCTGGAATCATATTATGATCCCTGAGCCCCTCCACAAGTGATCCATGAGCACAGAGCCAGGAGTAAACCCTGAGCCTAGCCAGATGTGGCACAAAAACAAAACAAAAAGAAAATTATCACAAAAGCTACACAGCAACTGGGAGACAATAACTGCACACAAATCTGAAAAGGGATTGATATACAAAGACTATAAAGAATTCATACTTAAACCACTTACATTTCATAATCACGTAAATCAGTGATAAACCAAGAAAAAAAAAACTGAATGTAAAATATATATATATATAAAAATGACTGAAAGAAGACATTTAACAGTGTGCTGACATGACACTTTTCAGAAGTGGAATTCCAATGACATACATACCAACCTTATAATATTCCCAATGTTCTGGTACATAGCCTTCTGGAATTTCTGCTAATTCAGCTTCACCTAGTAAGAGAAAGTAGTAATTTTCAACTTCAGAATGAGAAAATCACTATATTTTAATTCTCTACTGTTAAAGGAACTTCTATATATAGATATCCAATAAATTTATGAAAAACTGCTCCTCATCACTTACTATAAGGAAAATGCTAATTAAAACAACAATGAAATATCAACTTCTATCAATGATACCACACACACATATACAAAAACAAATAAAACAAGCCATGTTGGCAGAAAGGAGCCCTTATCCACTGTTGGTGGGAATGCTACCTGGTTCAACACTTTGGAAAACAACATGGACACGTCTCAAAAAAACCAAGAAATGAGTTTGTACACGATCCAGTAATTCTACTTCTCAGCATCTATCCCGAGGGCCTCTAAACACTATTCCAACAAACTTGCACCCCTAAGTTCACTGCAGCAATAGTCACAATAGCCAAGACCTAGAAGTAACTCAAGCATCCAAAACAGATTATTATATTTAAAAAACCTGGTATACACAATGGAGTATCACTCATATATCTCTATCTATCTATCTATCTATAAAATGATACTTCATATATATGTAGATAGATAGAGCCTGCAATTTGCTGCTGTGTAGAAAGAACTAGTGGTATTGCACTGAGTGAAGTCAGCCAGAAGGCAAGGAATAAATATAGATAAATGATCTCTCTAATATGTGGGACATAAAGAAACACAGTTTGGAGGTGGGAGCTTGGGAGGGGATCCTGAGACAGCTGGTGGAGAGAAGTGGGCATTCTGGGGCAGGGTGTAGGGTTGGAACACTGTATGCAGGAAACTCTATCAGCAACAATATTGCAAATCATGGTGCTTCAAATTAAAAAAAAGAAAACTTTTTTGAGGGGGTCACACCTGGCAGTGCTTGAGGGACCATGGGGTTCTGGGGATTGAACCCACACTGGACATGTTCAAGGCAAAAGCCCTACCGGCTGCACTATCGCCCCAGTCCTATTTTTTTTTTAAAAGCACCCAACTTGTGGGTTGTGATTTTAATAAGTCTTTTACTTGCATCAATGAAACTATCTAATACTTTAAATTCACTTCAATTTGGTTGAAAATAAATTTACTTTTGAAGTTTTCAGATGGTATTCTAAGTATAAGGGATTTTCTATAGGTAATATACAAGTTTCCCATTTTGTTTTTATCTCTGCCCCTCTCCGAGAGAGAGACCGGCAAGTTACCGAGAGCATCTCGCCCACACACAGTAACAACAAGTCTCACAATGTTACTGGGCCCACTTGAGCAAATTGATGAACAATGGGAGGACAATGACAATGACAATGACAATGACAATATATATAGTGTAACAATACTTCTGACAAGCATTTCAGGTTTCTAGATATCAGTAGCACTTTGCATCTGGAAATACAGTGCTGAGTGTCAGTCACAATTTCATTTTATTTTTTCTCTTTGGGTCACACCTGGTGATGGACAGGGGTTTCTCCTGGCTCATGCTCTCAAGAATTATTCCTGGCAGTGCTTGGAGGACGATACGGGATGCTGGGAATCAAACCCGGATCAGCCGTGTGCAAGGCAAGTGCCCTACCTGCTCCATCCCCAATTCCATTCTTTTTTTGAGATTACAATTACTATGTTCTAGAATGTTCTTACTACCTTCTATCCCTAGACCTGGGTTGCTACCTCTCTATTTCCCCCTATTCAGATTTGTGAAAACTGTTTTGGGCTAATGAGGAACACAGGCTTTCTGAAGCCTTTTATGTGGCCTCTATTGAACTGGTGACTAAAATTTGGGAGTCAAAAAAAAAAAAGTGCTTAAAAAAAAAAACAAAACACTGGGGCCAGAACTAGTACATTAGATATGGTGCTTCCCTTGCACACAGCTGACCTTGGTTCGATCCCCAGCATCCCATGTGGACCCCAAGCATGGCCAGGAGCGATTCCAAGTGCAGAGGCAGGAGTGACCCATGAGCATTACTAGGTGTGGCCCCAAACACAAAAGAAAAACAAAACAATACTGGAGCAATAGTGTTGAGTAGGGAGCATGCCAGCCAACCAGGGTTGGATCCCCAGCACCTCATATGGCCCGCCAATAGTCCCTGAGCGCAGAGCCAGGAGTAACCCTGAGCATACCAGATATGACCCAAAATCCAAGAAATAAATAAAAATTTAAAAAACACCGTAGTTGGCTAGAGATAACACAGTGGACAGGGCACTTGTCTTGCACACGGCTGACCTGGAATGCATTCCTGGCACCCCATATGGTACCCAGATCCCTACCAAGATGATCTCTGAGTGCAGAGTCAGGAATAATCCCTGAGCACAGAACCAGAAGCTAGCCCTGGTGTTACCCAAACCCCTACTCTCCCAACAAAAAACTCACAATACTTTAAGTCACAGTACCTCATTAAAAAAAAAAATCTTTTTTTCTAAGATCCATCCTTCTATCTACTTTACTGTTTAAAAAGCATTTCGCGGCTGGAGTGATAGCACAGCAAGTAGGGCATTTGCCTTGCACACGGCCGACCTGGGTTCGATTCCCAGCATCCCATAGGGTCCCCTGAGCACCGCTAGGAGTAATTCCTGAGTGCATGAACCAGGAGTAACCCCTGTGCATCGCCAGGTGTGACCCAAAAAGCAAAAAAAATTAAAATAAAATAAAATAAAAAGTATTTCGCCCTAATAGCTATCATGAAAAAAAATAATGTACAGATTTTTAAAAAATTTACAAGTTTGGTCAGGGGCAAGACTTACCAATGAATACATTCACCAGAGTTATGCCAATTGCCACTGGAATCCCAGTCAACAAAATGTAGAATCTCTGTTAAGACAAAAATTTAAAAAGGGTGGTGGGGGAATGGGCTCCATTATATGTGCGAGTAATAATATCATCTACATAACAAGTATGTTGTTTCCTCTGGCTGCTCTAATGGAACGGCACTAATTCTGTAGATTGCAACAACACATATTTACTGTCTTATAATTCTAAGGGTCAGGAACTGATTCCACAGTACTACATTTCCCTTCAGGCGCACGGAGAGAATGTTTTCTTACCTTCCCATTTTTAGAGGCTGACCACATTTCTAGGCCCCTTCGGCCAACAGCAGAGAATCTTCTCTTTCCCTTCACCTCTCACCCCCTTTTCTAATGATTACTGGAGTGATGTTAGGCCCACCTGGATAACCAAGCATAATCTCTGTCTCTGTCCTTAATCTCCTCATCGCCATATCCTTCATTCATTCAAGTATACAATTATTTTTTCTCCAAGTGAAATAGCAGATGAAAAATCCTTGGGATTACGACACATACATTTTTGAAAGAACATTATTCAGAAATCACCGTGGGGCATCTCTGGGTATTAAATATGCTAAGCACTTACAAATCCTTTTCCCAACTCTTTCTGCTTTCAAACTATCCATACTAGGTGATTTTTTTCTTTTTTTTCTTTTATGAAGGAAGCTACTCTATGATTTCCATATGCGTATTCGACATGCCAAAAACAGTAACAAGTCTCACAATGGAGATGTTACTGGTGCCTGCTTGAGAAAATCGATGAAAAACGGGATGACAGTGTTACTGTGTGTGTGTGTCTGTGTGTGTGTGTATACATTTTTTAATTAATTTTATTTTTTTCCAGTTGCGGTACAGTTGGGGCCACACATATTTAGCTGAGGTGCAGTAGAAATGGCAATGCTTTGCTGTGGCACCAGGACTGCTGAACAGCAGAACCACTGGCCCACACTTGGGCATGTGGGGTGGCTGCAGGGATCAATCTCAGCCTTGCCAGCCTTATGCTTACTAGGCACGTGCTCAATTGCTGAGCTGTCCCAGAGCCCCTGTATTTCTATAAAATAAACGTGCCAAGGGCCAGGATGTGGCCCAATGGCAGAGTACATGCCTTGCACATGTAAGTTCAGGATTCAATCCCAGGTACTATAACAAACAAACAAACAAAAAAAAAACAAGAAATGGGCATGGGTGATATAGTGCTGAGAACAGTAGCTGCCAAATTAAAACGTGTGGTATCGAATTATTTCTCTTTTTTTTTTACTTTTTGGTTCACACTCTATGATGCTGAGGGGTTACTCCTGGTTCTACACTCAGGAATTACTCCTGGCAGTGCTGGGGGGGGACCATACAGGATGCCAGGGATTAAACCAGGGTCAGCTACATGCAACGCAAACGCCCTCCCAACTGTACTATCACTTCCAGCCCCAAATTATTTCTCTTTCTTTTCCTCTAGCTTTCATACTGAGCATGAACGGAAAAAAGCATGAACTGTACAAATATATATTCATGATGTTTCATGTCTTAGATAAAAGCAGTTTCATCAAATTTAGAGTCTTATAATATTAAAGAAAAAAGTGTAAAAACCATGAGGATGGCATCCCTCACTCTATAGTCTGAGTTGGCCATGAGAAGAAATGTGAGGAGAGGGGGGTTAAGGGTGAGTAAGATTCAGCAGGCAGCAGTGCTCATGGGGTCAGAGATTGAGAAACAGAAGCAGAATCCAGATAAATATTCCATCTTCCAAGCCTCAATTTTTCCTTATAAAGAAACCTCATGAGTACACTGTAGCACTGTCCTCCCACTGTTCATTGATTTGCTCGAGCGGGCCCAGTAATGTCTCCATTGTGACACTTGTTGTTACTGTGCTTGGCATATCGAATACGTCACAGGGAGCTTGCCAGGCTTTGCCGTGCGGGGCGGAAGAATTGAACCCAGCTCAGCCGGGCCAGTGGCTTGCAAGGCAAACCCCCTACCGCTGTGCTATTGCTCCAGACCAGAGTATACTAATGCACTTTAAAATCCATGTCCTGGGGAAAACAAAACAAAACAAAAACATGTCCTGGGGCTGGAGAGGTAGCATAGCGGGTAGGGCTTTTGCCTTGCACGTGGACCATCCGGGTTCAGTTCCCAGCATCCCATATGGTCCCCTGAGCACTGCCAGGAGTAATTCTTGAGTGCAAAGCCAGGAGTAACCCCTGTGCATCGCCGGGTGTGACCCAAAAAGCAAAATTAAATTAAATAATAAAATAAAAATCCATGTCCTATTGGTCTTGGAAAATGTACATGGTGAAGGGAAGGGTACTAGAACATTATATGACTGAAGCCCAATTACCAACAACTTTGTAACTATGTATCTCACGTGATTCAATTAAAAAATATTTTAAAATAAAAAATAAATTTCATATTCCTGAATAACACAAAAATAAAGTACCATAGCCCCAAACAATGAACTTCCTACTTTGTTTATTGTGGCAATGCTCAGGAGTTACTCCAGGCTCTGCACTCAGGAATTACTCTTGGCAGTGCTGGGGGGGGGGGGGGGGGGGGGGGGAGTATAGAGGATGCCAGGATTGAACCCAGTTCATCTGCATGCCCTCCCCGCTGTATAATCACTCAGGCCCCTGAAGTTCCTAATTTAAATAAATGTTTTAAAGCTCTTTCATAATTTAAAGAACATTTTAGTGATATAAATAATTTTCCCCAAATGAATCAGCTTTCAAATTATTTATTATCTGTGGATTTTTTCCTCCTAAAGCAAGGAATGCAGATTACATGTCTAAGCCACAAAGCTTGAGAAAGTATGGCCCTTTTTTTTTACCCCCACTTAGCACCAAACATCTGGGGACAGTTGTCTGTTGGTTTGGTTCAGGCACACCCAAGACCATGTGGTGTCCAGAAATGAGCCCAGGACATCACACATGCAAGGCAAGTGAGCACTAAGACCCACCCCCAGCCCAGAATTCTTTTTTTTTTTTGAAGGAAAGGTTCACTAATTTATAAATGAAATTCTATAATGAATCAGACCTTAGTTCACAGTCTCAATTTATTTTTGATAAAATATAAATTATAGGAGGTGGCTGGAGTGCAAACTACAGATTAGAGCCCCAGGTTCGATCCCAGCATTGCTTGGTCCCGAGTGACCCAACCTGGGAGCACTGAGCTGGGAGTAGACCACAGCACTTCATGACTTCATGGTGTGGTCACCTCCTTCCACCATGCCAAATTTACAAAATATTTTATTCAATGTTTTTGAACTTGTGGGGGAAATGTCTTATTTGTATGCAAAGAGAACAATTTAACTTTTTTTTTTAAAATGGAATAGTTTTGTTTTCCCCCATACCACACAGAGTCGGTGGGGCTGTCAGGGTCACCTCAGGGCATGTGGGCAGCACTGGGTCTAGTGCTTGTCAATGCTGTGACCAATGAGCCACTCCAAGTCCCATTCAAAAATCCTAACTTACCATTAAATGCAAAAACCGCTTATCATAGAATCCAGAAGGCTTGACGATAAACAGTCTCTTCCCATGGTGATCTCCGCTATGTCGAACAGGAGCTGGAAATATTAAATCACCTTGTTTTATACATGTTTCATATTGTGTATGGCTGCATTCAGAAATAAAATTATTAAAATGCAAATGCATACATGTTTAATATGAACTAGGATAAAAATACATGCTGCTTTCTTCAAATATGAAAGGCAGGGGTGACAGGATAACTTTAAACAGAAACTGAGATACTGATTAATATCAGGGCTTCCTAAGCATTTTCCACTCTTCCCCCAACTTTTGGTGTCTTTAGTTTTAATTTCCTTTTCTTGTTTGTTTGTTTTTGGGCCACACCCAGCAATGCTCAGGGCTTAATCCTGGCTCTGCACTCAGGAATCACTCTTGGTGGGTTGGGGTGACGATATGAGGTGCCAAGGATGAAACAAGGAGGCCGCGTACAAGGCAAATGCACGCTGGTACACCGTACTATTTCACCAGCCAACTACTTTTCCCCCCAGTTTTTATTGAGGCACCCCCAGGGATTTATGATAACATTAATAATAGCTTCATGCATACACTATCCTAACACTCCTAACACCACACCCTCACCCAGATCATCAGTGTCCCTCCACCAATGTCCCCAGATCCCCTCCCACACCCCTGCTAAGTTCAGTTCTATTGACCAAATCGCAGGTGGTTTTTCTACTCTTGACCCCTTTCGCCAATTTTTATGTGACCTCCAGGTTAAACAAGAATATAAAATAAGTATTCAAATCAAAAAATTTACTGATAGTAAATTTTTAAAATTTTTTTGAAAGCTCCAGAACCCCATATATGATGGTGACCCACACCTTCAAGAAGCCAAGCTCTGAAGTATATAGCGCTCCTCATTTCTATTCAACGTAAAAAAGAAAAAGCTAAAAAAGTTTGAGTTTGTTCCAAAAGTGGAAAGGGCGGTCATACATATACTACTGAGGGACCGTTTTCTTTCACTTTTCTTCTTTAAAAAAATGATCTTGGGGTGAGAGTGATAGGATGGCAGGTAGGGCACTTGCCTTGCACACTGCTGACCGAGGTTTGATCCCAGTATCCCATATGGTCCCCAAGCACTGCCAGGAGTGATTCCCAATGCAGAACCCAGAGTAAACCTCTGAGCATCACTGGATTTAGTCCCCAAACCAGATATATTTATTTCCGTGACATATTTTATTTATTTTTTACTTTTTGGAGGGAGGAGACCATACGCAGTAGCAGAGATCATTTCAACTGGAAGCAGAAAGGATCTATCACTGGGACAGAGGTTAACAGCTGCTTTATGCAACTGTATTCAAGAAAGTTTTCCATGCAAATCTCTGAAATAATATTTTCCCATTAAAGGAATTCAATTGTAACAGGTATCAGAAAGATCTGCAGATTTTGCTCCAGTTTAGTATCTGAAGTCTATTCTTTTTATTTGGGGGTGGCATGATCACACCCAGTGGTGCTCAGAGATCACTCTGGCAAGGCTCAGGGGACCATATGGGAGTCAAATCCAAGTTAGCTGTGTGCAAGGCAAGGGCCTTGGACTATCTCTCTGGCCTTCACCACATATTTCAAAGACGAGCTTTCACTGCCTCCACTGAACAAGAGAATGTGAGAAAGTATATACTCCAGCAAATCACCTGAAAAATTTAATGGAATTATATGTGGAATATATATATACATACATATATATATATACATATATATATGGCTGGAAAAGAGTGTAAACCATTTATGAATTTGCTAAATATTTAAGTGCCTACTAAGGGTAGGTCTCAGGCCTTCGGTCTAAGAGAGACGTAGATACTGCTGAAAAGAAAAGAGACAACAAACAAAAATTATAACTCTCAAAGGATAGGCAAAAGGGTCCAGAGAAAATGGGCTTAAAAGTTCCTACTTGGACAGCACGGGGAAGGGCAAGGGTTGTTAGGAAGGTCTGTTCTAATTCTAGAAGTGACAAGTTGCTGAATTTGTATGGGTAATTGAGTGAGTATAATCAAAAGGTACTGATTACTTAAAATGCAATAAGGGTTCCGCTAACAGCCTTGCAGGGTCAAGATTTCTGTGAATGGCCTGGATGAGGTAGAGATGACATTTCTGACAGACATGAATCTACAAGAGTTGGTAACTCTTAAATAGTCCAATAGTTTGCCTGCAATCTCATAGTATTATAGTAGTTAGTAATGTGAACAGCTTGCTTTCTTTATATATAATTAGCCTACTGTTAAACACCAATTATTCCTGTCATTAAACATGCTATAAACTGTTATTACTATTAATTGTTCTAAGGTATATTTCACGGCATTAAACTCCTCAATATTCTGAGCGTTCGTGATTACTGAGGTAGCAGGGCCATCTGCTTACAAACTTTAAGAAAGACTGGTCAGGACTAGAGAGACACTAGAGCAGGTAAGGCACCTGCCTTGCACACAGTCAACCCCGGGTTTGATCCCTACTACCCCATACAGTCCCCGGAGCCCACCAGGCATGATCCCTGAGTATTGCTGGGCATAGCCCCCAAATTAAAAACAAACAAAAAACAAACAAACAAAAAAAAAAAACTAAGACAAAAAAAAAAAAAACGAAGACAGATACTGCTTACAATATGGTGACTATTCAGATTTCTGGAATTCAGAATTTTGTGCCACCCAAGTATGAATGCTACTGCCCTCTCGAATGCCTGAAATTTCTCAAGCAGCTATCCAGTGACTAACTGCAAAGAAGTAAGGAAAACTGAAGAATAACCAAATTTCCAAATGCATGTAACTTCAGAAAAGCTTCTGGCACCATTGATATGCACAAGGGGTCGCACAAGGGCCCCCAAATATGCTAACGCAGAGAGGTGGAAGGAATACACTCTGCACAGGATCTCCTGAGCACAGGTCTGGCCGGAGGCAATGCCCAGGCACCTGCCTGGAGGAGCCCCTGCGCACTTCTGGGTGTGCCTCCCGCCCAAAAAAAGGATAACGCAGACATTTATTTTGCTACCTCAAAGACAAAAAATACATTATCTTCCTTCCTTTATTCTCAGAAAATTCGCAGCAAATGGGATCACCAACTCAATTGCCCAAGTTAATAATCTCAGAAATCCAATCATGAAGAGCTTTGCAATGGTCTACCTCACAGTGATTCAATAGAAAGTTAAAATAATAATAATAATAACTCAGTCATCCTCCCAGAGGCCAACCCTCATTCACAGTTGCCAAGGCTTCTGAATAGACTCAAGCTCTCCATTTCCTTCCAGGCCCTCTTTACTTCATTGGCTAAAGTCATCAACCCCCTCTACAAGTAATCAAATATTCAGAAGCATCTACATTTTGGCTTTACAATTATCCCTGTTCTCCAAATTTGGCCCCATTTTTTTTTTGAGTCTTATTTCTTAGTATCCACTTATCCCAAGATCCCCAATTCAGAAATTCTATAAACAAATTCTTTTCTGCCACTGCAACTGTTATAATTATCCCCACAATCCAGTTAAAAGGTCCCTTTTCCATTCTGAGTCAACTCCACATTCCGTTTACAGATATTTCATACTCTTCTCACTGCTCCAACTACAGTATGGTGCTTATCAGACCTCAACATTAAATTCCTTAGAGCTAAGGCAAGAATATAAAGGTCATTTCCAGACTCCCCTAGCATTCGACACTTAATGAACAGTAAGTAGAGAGAATACTTTTATCTGCTAATTTTCTGGGCTAGACTATCACTGGGCTAGGCTATCACTGATGGTGATGAAAGCAGCATAACAGACAATTGGCGACACAGAACAAAGCCATTGCTTTCCCGGAAACTCACTCTTCTTTGCAAATCCTTTATGAAACAGAATCAAATTATCATCCTCTTCTCTTTTTTTCGTTTCTTTGTACAGTTCTTGTGGTAATCGATAAGGACATCTCAAAATGACAACTCTAAAAAGACGCAAAAACTATACAAAACTATAATTCAGCTGTAAAAACATGAGAATGGGAAAGAAGCCTTATTTCACTATCAAATCTACAGATATAATCACACTTGTAACAATCATACTCTTTACTTCTTTCTCTTTGGTTTGGGGGCCACACCTGGCTGTGCTAAGGGCTTACTTCTGGCAATGCTCAGGGGTCATATGTGGTATCAGGGATCAAACATGAGTCAGCCACCCTTACCTGACTTACTTTCTCTGAAGACTAACCCTTCCCCTTTAAGTGCTTTCCTCTTAGTTTCCAAAATTTGACAGCTCAAAGTCACAGAGCTAAAAGGCTCTGGGAGCCAGAATTTGAACTTAAGCAAAATTTAGTGGAGATATTGTTAGGGACAGTCATAAACAATAAGGTAACAGAGCAAGACCTTTCATAACAATGACAAGTAAAGCTTCACATGCAAAACAACTTTACACAGGTAAACAACTAAAGCCAGTGACCCTCTGTGTAGTTATCAGAGACTCCTGCTAGAGCCACAAGAGCAGAGATGATCTATAACGATCCTTTCAGAATTCCAAGAATGGGGACTAGTGTGTAAGGAGAAACTAAGGGTGAAATTAGTGTATAAAGAGAAACTAAGGGTGAGATTTTACCTATTTATCTCCAGCTAGGCACATTAAATTCTATCCAGGGAAATCTCTGAAGAGGATATGTATAATTCGAAATGGCTTGCAAAGGCATTTTATCAAATATTGGGTACAGGTGGTTTTGCAACAAGTTCAAATACCTCCAAGAAGCCATACCTCCTTGCTGGTCCCTACACTAAAAAAGCTCATCATGTGAAATGACATGAAATTAAATTGGGAGAGGACAGGCAAACTAAAAAAGACATTCTGAGGTCAGAGGGAATCTTCTTGGCTTTGATGTAAACCTTATCGTCTCTTGAACTATCTGCATCCATAGGGAACATTGCTCACAACACAGTATTAATAATCAAAAAGTGAACTGATGGGTAGCACGGTGCCTGGCCACATAATAAGTGCCTAATAAAGTGCCTAATACATGCTCTCCGCCATTGGTCTTGTTATTGCTAAACCGAACACAGCAGTGATTTTAGTAATCAGTGCCGGTTTCCTCATCTGTAAAGTGGGGGTCGCACTGGACGTTGCAGCCTTCGGCAGACTGAAAGCACCTGCTACTTGGCTAGGATCATTCAAACACCCTCAGGAGTCAACCGAGTCTCCTGGAAGCTAAAAGCGGCTCATCCCGGCAGAATGACAAGTGTGCATATCCATTCGCACTGTGCCTGTGTGGCTTGAAAGAAAAACAGGAACACATTTCTTGAAGCCCTTAGAAACAGCCCGTGGGGGGCGGGGGGGGTGGGAGAGCAATAGCACAGCGGGGAGAGTGTCAGCCTTGCACGCGGCCGACCCGATTTCCAGCATCCCATAGGATCCCCCGAGCACCGCCAGGAGCAGTAATTCCTGAGTGCAGGAACCAGGAGGAACCCCTGTGCACCGCCGGGTGTGACCCAAAAAGCTAAAAAAAAAAAAAAGAAAGCAAGAAATAGCCCGGAGCCCGGAGCCTTGGCGGCAGTTGGATGACTCCGAAGCAAGCCAGGACCCGGGCGGGGGGCGCACGGGGATCAGCGTCCCGGGCCCGGGAGACTGGGGGAGAGGGGGGTAAGGAAGGGGGCTCCACGCCGTCTTCCAGCTCCAGCTTCATTTGCAAGTGACCGACCTCGCATTCGGGACGCGGGATCAGGAGGACGCGCCTCCTTCGGGCCGAGCCCGCGGCGGCCACCAAGGTCACCCGGGAACGGTCCTCCGTTTCCCGCCCCGTCTCCCCCGCGCGCGCCTCCCCCACGAGCCCGCACTCACCGACCGCCTCGGGCACGCTGCGGCGGAGAAAGCCCCCGAGTCCGAGCCGGCCGCCCAGGCAGCGGCCCGACAGAGCGGTCACCGCCGTGACCGAGGCGCGCCGCAACAGACTCATGGCCGCCATGGCTACTGCGGGCAGAAGGACGCAGCGGGGGCAGGTAACGGGAACCGGGAGAGCCCGGTCACCAATGGGAACGCAGGCGTAGGGAGGCCATGTTGAGTGAGGGCAGAGCGCGCGGCAGGGCTCTTTAACTGCCCCCCTCCCCCCTAAGCTCCGGATGTGACGCCACGGCGGGCGGAAGCTCGAGTGTCCTGCGCGGAAAAACATGGCTGCGGCCGCCTTAGGGAACCTTTGCAGGAAGGTCTCTAGCGCTCTGAAGGCTTCCAAGCCCTTGATGAGTGTTCAGAGCCCCGCCGGCACTGGGTAAGTGATGCGAGGAGGACACCTGTTCGCCTCACTAGCTTTTGGTCTTGTTTGGTGAGGCATGATGGGCCCGAACAGCGCAGGGATGGGAAGGTGGCCGGGAGCGCGATTTGGAACTCACCCCTACGAGAAGGGAGTGACCTTGGGGAGGGCGCCTGCCGCGGGCGTTTCCGCTGCTGCTCCGACTCAGGGTTGACCCCTCGTGTGGACCAGGCAGTACTCAGGATCCGGGATCTTGGTGGCTAACCCTTGGTTGACCCCTCGTGTGGACCAGGCAATGCTGGGACCTGTGGTCGCCAACCCTTGGTTGACCCCTCGTGTGGACCAGGCAGTACTCGGGATCTGTGGGTTTCTGGTCTCTGTAGAGTTGAATCCAAAGGCACAGAAGCCTTGGTTTGGACTCTGTAGGAAAAACTTCCCTTCCTGAAAAAATTTTGGCTGTCAGAGAAGTCTTTGTACTTCCGAATTTTATCACAAATTAGTCAGTAAACGTTAAGCAAAAGAATGAAAGTAGCCAAATGAACGGCAAGTTGCCCTCTAAGTATGAGAAAGAAACAGTCTACACATAGTTCTTTATTTTATTATTTTTTTTTAGCTTTTGGGGTGACACCTGGCGATGCACAGGGGTTCCTCCTGGCTCTGCACTCAGGAACTACTCCTGGCGGTGCTCCGGGGACCACATGGGATGCTGGGAATCGAATCCGGGTTGGCCTCATGCAAGGCAAATAAATATTCTTTGAAAACTTGACTTTTAAATAACTTCAATCACTTGTTGATGTATTTCAGTTTTAGGTTTTGTCTTAGTCTCTTGACAAAGAATACAAGTGCCGCATCTTTTCCCCAGTGTCGATTACTTCATACCACATTGCCACGGAAAGGACTGGAGGAATTTTTTGATGATCCAAAGAATTGGGGGGAAGAAAAAGTGAAATCTGGTGAGATGTTGAGATTGGTTGGTATTAAATATATTTAGTAATCCTTCCATCATTTTGACATTATTTACCCAGTTTGAGAATTCCTTAGCATATTTCCTTTGGGAATTTTCTAGAGAGACAATTAAAAGGATAATAGCATAGCGGTGTTAATGGTTGCTAGGTGCAGTGGAAAAAGGTTTAGAAAAGAAGTCGGTTAAAATTATTAACTGAAGTTTAAAGATTGTTTTAGATTTGATTTGTAAGTCTTTATTTGGGCAGGGCATCTCTGGTGTGTTTGGGGGCCACTCCCACCATATTCAGCCGGGCCCAGTAGAGCTGATCCGTGCTGACGATGCAGTGCTGCTCTTTGGGCCCAGTGGTGCTTGGGAGACATATGGTACCAGGAGTTGGACCCAGGGCCTGATGCAAGCAAGATGTGTGCTTCAGCTCTTTCAGTTACCCCTTCATTTCCCACCCCAGATTTTATTTTTGGTTGTATTGTTTTGTTTGGGGCCACACCCTTTTATGCTCGAGGCTGACTTCAGGTTCTGAGCTGAGAAATCACTCCTGATAGTGTTCAGGGAATTATATGGGATGCTGGGGAATGAACCCAGTCAGGCAGCATGGAAGGCAAATTATTACCCACTATACTATTGCTCCAGCCCTTTTTTTGTTGATTGTTTTGTTTTGTTTTGTTTTGTTTGCTTTGGAGCCACACCTGGTGATGCTCAGGGATTCACTTCCAGGTTTCATTTTTTAGAGTTTTTTTTTTTCCTTTTTGGGTCACACCTGGCAATGCACAGGGGTTACTCCTGGCTTTGCACTCAAGAGTGACTTCTGGTGGTACTCAGGCGACCATATGGGATGCTGGGAATTGTACCACGGTTGGCTGCGTGCAAGGCAAATGCCCTACCTGCTGTGCCACTAGAGATTTTTTTAAACTAATGTTTCATGATAAGAAGAATGTTGATATTTGAGTGCGAAAACACATTCTGTACTAATATAAACATTTTTGTAATGATGTCACCAGTCATACTATTTTTGTTATTTAATTTAACTCCAATTTTATTCTAATTACATACTACATAATATAATCAAGCAGTTAGCCATTTTATAGAGAAGCAAGCTGGAGTGTTTAAGTGAATTGCTAACAAGAGCCCTATTTTATGTTACAAATTTCTAATTTTAACAGGTGCTGCTTGGACTTGTGCGCAGTTGCGGAACAAAAGTAATGAAGATTTACATAAGCTTTGGTAATTTTTATTTATTTTCTTTTGCTCCTTCCTTTTGTCATTGTTAGTTGCTGTGATGACTGGAAGTCACACGGCTGTTTGGGTCACTTGCTGCATTCCCACATCTGGCTGTGCTGCTCGGTGGGGTCCCACATCTGGCTGTGCTACTTACCAGGGTCCCACTTCTGACTGTGGTGCTCACCTGCTCAGCTGCAGTGCACAGTAGGGGTCCCACCTTGCACACATGCTCGCTGGGTGTTCCACACCTAATTGCATTTCTTGCCCTGTTTAAATTTTTGTTGTTGTTGTTTCATTTATACACGCCTGGAGATTTCACACTGTGGCAATGCCAGGAACCAATACACACCAGAACACCAGGATGGGGTGACACTGGGGACTGGGCTTGTTGGCTCGAGGCCATTGAATCATCCCCAGGTGCCACATCCCCCTTGCCCCCACGCTCCCATAAAAATTCTAAGTACACTAACATCTGGGAGGCATAAACTTGACATCTGATGTAAGAAATTGAATAATGTGACTTGTAGTACTATGGATATAGTCGATGGTTTTATAGCTGGTGGACAACTGGTACCAGTCATAGTAAGTAGTTCCTTTGTAGTAATTACTTCAGTGAATTGGAAAATGAAGTGGTGATTTTTAAATTTTCTTTAAATTCCTTTTTTATGGTGTAGAAGTTTATTTCTTCACATTTGTTTTGGGGCCAGCCCAGCTGTGCTATGGATCACTCGTGATCATAGAGAACTTGATCACTATGGATCTGTTCTCAGGGATCACTCCTGGCAGTACTTGGGGAACTGTATGTGGTGCTGGGATCAAACCCTGGTCAACTCCTTGCAAGGCCACCAGGTGTGGCCTCGAAACAAAACAAAAATCCTGCCCACCCTTACTTCCTGTCTGCCACTTGGGTACTTTAGATTGTTTGCTCCATTTTCTGTTCCATCCTAACAGATAGCATTATGAAGCTTTCCTGGATCTTCTTAGTTAGAAGTGTTTTATCTCTTCCAATCAAGTTGATTGTTTTGGAGATAGCTACTTCCAGCAGTGCTCAGGACTTACTCCTAGCTCTGTGCTCTGATCACTCCTGGAGGGCTCAGGGGACCCTATAGGGTACCAGGGTTCGATTCCTGGTCTGCTGCCTGCTAGGCAAATGCCCTATCTTCTGTGATTTCACTCTAGTTTTTTATCAAGTACATTCATTTTTCTAATTTCTGCTTCATATTTAGTAAATTTGTGTGCTCCCTAAATACCTTACTTCTCTCAGGTTAATAAAATAATTAAAATAAAGTTTTACTTTATTTTGAAAGTGGAAGTAGTGTCAACTGCAAAGGATTGTTTTGAGAGTTAAATGAAATACTGTGTTAGAGTGCTTAGCAAGTTCGGTTTTGGGACCGTGGTGTGGGTGCTGCTCCCAGAGGTGCCCAGGGCCCATGTAGTGCCTGCAATTGAACCTGGGCCTCTGTGTAGAAAGCATGTGCTCCAATCTTTTGAGTCGCCTCCCTGGCTCCAAATAAATATTTTTTCAGTGGGGTTTGGGGAGAGGGGCATGACAGAGGGATGGGCTAAGGAGTCATACCCAGGTCTTGTGCATGCATGGCACCTGCTTTTTAACTGAGTCCCCAGCCCTTCAAGTACTCAGCACTTCCATGTGTAAGAGTTAAGGGATAGACAGGACGGGAGAAGCATGCTGAAAGTAGACTATAGACCAAACATGATTGCCACCCATTGCCTCTTTTGCAAACCACAACACCCAATAGGAGAGAGAGAACAAAAGGGAGTGCCCTGCCACAGAGGCAGGGTGGGATGGGGGAATGGGGGGTGGGAGGTATACTGGGATCCTTGGTGGTGGGAAATGGGCACCGGCGGAGGGATGGGTATTTGATCATTGTATAATTGAAACCCAAGCACAAAAATTTGTAAGTCTACAACTGTGCCTCATGGTGTCTCACTAATAAAAATTTAAAAAAAAAAGATAACTTTTCAAAGAAAAAAGAGTTAAGGGATAGATCCATACCTGCCACCTTCTCTCTCCACAGAAGCCAGCTAGGTTCTCTGTTTTTTAATAATGCTCCCAGTATTTCATGCAATCATGTGCAATTTTTATTGAACAGATAAATCATTGTAAATATACTTTCGTTTAAGTATATTTCTTCTTTATGTATATAGAGGCTTATTTTTTTAAATTTTGTTGAATCACTGTGAGATAGACCCTTTCAAAGCCGTTCATGATGAAGTCGCAGTCAGTGTTCTGACACCATTCCTCCATCAGTGTTCATTCCCAGCACCAGTGTCCCCAGATTCCCTCCCGTCACCCTGCCCATCCAGCTGCCTCTGTAGCAGGCGCTTTTCTTCTCTTTCTGTCATTCTCTCTTTCTTCCCTCATTTAACATTGTGGTTTGCAGTACAGATACTGAGAGCTTATCAGGAATATCCTTTTGTCTCTTTACCTACTTTTAACACTCAGTTCTTGTCCAGCGTGATCATTCCCAGCTCTTGTCATACTGGTCCTATAGAGACTTCGAAAGGGCTTTGGAGTATAGGTCATTGATGTTGATGTCCGAAATCACAACTGGCTTAACAGAGTCAGAACAGCATGACAAGCACTGTCTCTTCGACACAGGTATGTTCTGCTGAAGGAGAGAAACATGCTCCTCACCCTGGAGCAGGAGGCCAAGCGGCAAAGAGTGCCCATGCCCAGTCCCGAGCGGCTCGACAAGGTAAAGCCCAAGGATTCTGGGATGAATGCCGAAAGGAGTGAGGGGACACTCCCGATATTTTTTATCAAGTACATTTTCTTTTTAAATTTCTGCTTCATATTTAGTGAATTCACTGAGCTGTGTAACTGTCACTAATATATACATTGAAAATATTTCATAATTTGCACTGACTTGTCGTTTCTGCCTGCAACCCTCAATATTCATATGAACATATGTTTCTTCTGGGTAGGTACCTAGCTGTGAAATTGCGGGGTCATATGGTAAATATGAGTTTGCCATTTTTAAGACCCAGCCAGACATTTTTTAATGTAGTGGCACCATCTTACAATGGCGTCAAAAATTTTTTTAATCATAAAAATCTCATGACATGAAATTTACTGTAATAACCTTTTTGATTCAGTGGTATTAAGTATATGAACACTTTTGTTTGTGTGTTTGTTTTGTTTTTCTTTTCTTCTTTTTTTTGGGGGGCAGGGAAATAGGGACACACCCAGAGATGCTCAGCAGTGACTTCTGGCTCTGCACTCAGGAATCACTCCTGGCGGGCTCAGGGTATATGGGTTGCCCAGAATCAAACCCATGCAAGGCAAAAGTCCCATCTCTGTACTATTGCTCTGGCCCTCATGTGAAAACATCAGCTCCCTTTTTTTGGTTTTCAATCTGTGAGGTACTGCGATCTATACTATTGTTAATGCTAGTTTCATGCAAACATTATTCTATCACCATAGAATCCACTTCTCTTGAGTAGGCTCCCAAAGGCCCCTCCTGTTCAAGGCCCCACCCCAATCCTGATTCAGTTCTGTGGACCAACTAACCAGGGCTGCTGCTTGTGGCCATTTGTTGCCCCCCTCCCCAACTTTATTTTGAAAGTGCCCCCCATCTGGGCAAGATGATTCTGTGTCTGTCTCTCTCCTGACTGATTTCACTGTGCATAGTGCTTTCCAGATCCACCCATGTAGCAGCAAACGGCAAAATAGCTTTTCTTCTAGCCAAGTAATATTCCAGTGCATCTATGTGCCATAGTTTCTTCTTCCAATCATCTGTTTTTCTTTTTTTTTTAATTTAATTTTGCCTTTTTTTTTTTTTTTTTTTTTTTTTTTTTTGCTTTTTGGGTCATACCCAGCAATGCTTAGGGACTTTTCCTGGTTCTGCACTCAGGAATTACTCCTGGCAGTGCTTGGGGAACCATATGGGATGCCGGGGATCAGCCGTATGCAAGGCAAATATGCCCTACCCACTGGACAATCTCTCTGGCCGCTCATCTGTTCTTCGATCGTGGGTAGTTTCCGGGATTTGGCTATTGTGAATAGGGTTGCAATTAACATAGGGAACACTGTACCTTTTTCTTTTTTTTTTTTCACTTTTTGGGTCACGCCCATGATGCGCAGGGGTTACTCCTGGCTCATGCACTCAGGAATTACTCCTGGCGGTGCTCAGGCGACCATATGGGATTCTGAGAATTGAACCTGGGTTGGCCGCGTGCAGGGCAAATGCCCTACCCGCTGTGCTATCACTCCAGCCCTGTACCTTTTTCGAAACTCGGAAATTAATGTTGGTAAAATGCTATATATAATTTATAATTTTTCAACTACTCTGATATTTCAGATTTCAGCCATTAAGTAAGGATATTATTTTTTAATTGCATCTCATTAGTCTCCTTTAGTTTGCATACTTTGTCTTTCATTGTGTGTCATGCCATTGATAATTGTGAAGAATCACCCGGTTTGGTCTGGCATATTTCTCATGATCATTGTGATGATGGGCAGAAAGGTGGGATTATGTTGTGTTCACCATGCAGCATCTCAAGAGGTGGAGGATGTTGACTTGTTCTACTTTTGTTGTCAGCATTGATTACAGTAGTGTCTTGGAGATTTTTGCTCTAATTTTTTTTTTTTTTTCCCTTTGGAGATAATTATTCTGTAACTTCTCAAACTTTTTTTTTTTAAATTAATTTTTTGGTTTGGGGGCCATGCCTGGCAATGCTCAGGGCTTACTCCTGGCTGTGCATTCAGGATATATTCCTAGGTGATCATATGAGATGCCAAGGATCCAACGCAGGTTGGCCACATGCAAGGTGCTTCTCAAACTTTCACTCACTAGTTTTAGCATTGATTGATAATTCTCATCTGAATCAGTTATTACTACCGCGATGTTTGCTAAATGGTGGTTTTCTAATCCCATCATTCATTCTATACTTATTAGCTGGCTTTCTTTTATAATACTTTCCCTTCACTCACTTAAAGAGGTGGAGGGATGGGGCTGGAGAGATAGTTTAGTGAAATGAGTGCCAGCTTTGCATTCCTGAGACCCAGGTTTAATCCCTGGCATCACTCTGAACAACCCCAAGCACTGAGCTGGGAGTTAACCCTGTGTACTACTCGGTGTGACCCACAAACAAACTTGTTTTGTTTTTTGATTTTGATTTTATTGGCAATGCTCAGAGCTCACTCCTGACTCTGCTCAGGGATCACTTCTGGCGGTGCTCAGAAATCCGTATAGAGTGGTTCTCAGGGACCATATGTGATTAAAGGATTAAACCCAGGTTGGGCCACGATCACGATCACGACTATCCTGTTGTTCGTCGATTGCCTCGAGCAGGCCCCAGTAACGTCTCCTTCGTCCTAGCCCAGAGATTTTTTTTAAAAGTGCCATATTCAAGGCTCTTTCAGGATTAGGAGAATGAGACCCATCATTGTTACTGGTATTTGGCATATTGGGTACGCAATGGGGAATTTGCCAGACTCTACTGTGTGGGCAGGTTACATTCAGTAACCTGCCAGTTTGTCCAAAGTAGGAATGAGATAATAAGATGTTGCTTCTGGGAGCTGGTTTTTATAGTCTCTGAGTCTTAGCCATTGATGGGATTACACGGCGCCAGAGGGCCAGTTGGTGGGTGTGACCCCTGCCTACTGGAATTTGGAGGATCTGGGTGGAGGATGCTCAGCCCTGATCCGAGCAGGCTTGAAGATCTCAGCCCCGGGACTTACATGCCTTTGTTCCTCTTCTGGTACCTTCATGCGTGTGGAGAGTGGTCTCAGCATGGTGGTGGCTGGTTCTGGAGGTCTTCGGCTGCCGGAGTCCTGGTTGGGGTGGGGAGGGAAACTCAACCCGCTCCCCTCCAAGGGGGCCCGGCAAGGACAGCCAGGTGCAGGGGCAGGAGACTCTGCGCTGTTTTCTTCCGGGAGCTGGGTTTTATAGTCTCTGAGTCGTGGCCATTGATGGCATTACATGGCGCCAGGGGGCCAGTTGGTGGGTGTGACCCCTGCCTACTGGAATTTGGAGGATCTGGGTGGAGGATGCTCAGCCCCGATCCGAGCAGGCTTGGAGATCTCAGCCCCGGGACCCGCATGCCTTTGTTCCTCTGCTGGTTGGGCCACATGCAAGGCAAAACACCCTGCCTGCTGTACTCTCTCTCCTGCCCCAAACAAAGTTTTAGAAAATTGCAGAAAGTGATGCATAGCCACTATGTAAGTAGTGAATATTGTATTTGTAGAAAACATATGGTGGCATGGTTCTTTGACAGAATTACTCACCACAGGTTTTTATAATGTCATGTAATCTTTGTGTTTTCTGTCTCTTTGGTATTCTTTTATATATGTCCGTTGAGATTATGTCTTTTTATTCTCAGGTCATAGAATCCATGGAAGCATTAGATAAAGTTGTCAAGGAAAGAGAAGATGCCATAAGACTTCTTCAGACAGGTCAAGAAAATGCTAGACCTGGTGCTTGGAGGAGAGACATCTTTGGACGAGTTATCTGGTAGGGACATTTAATATATGTGGCTTCCAGGGAATTCTCAGTCCTTAGTCACCCATCTAGTATTTAAGACAACTCTGAGTAGGGGCTGGAGATAGTACTGCAGATAAGGCACTTTGATCATTGTATGACCAAGACTTAATCTTGAAAGCTTTGTAACTTTTCCCACAGTGATTTAATAAATACAACGGAAAAGAAAAAAACACTACACCTGCATTGGTTGAAGATCACCCACGGCTTTGCCCGTGGTCATGGGTGAGATTCAGTGGCCAGCACCATGGCAGCCTCTCATCACTGCCCAGTCCAGTGCAGGGAGCTGGAAACCAGGCCCTGACAGTTCACAGCATGGCCCAGGGTGAGGTGGAAGCCAGGCCCTGGCAGGGCACAACAAGGCCCTGGGCGCGCGCCGGACCCCATCTCAGACCAGCAGTGTCCATGCTGAGTTCTGAAGCTTCTTCCCCCTTCAATAAAGTTGCTGATGCTGAAAACATAAAGAAAAATACAGAGCTTATATGTGTAAACATCAAATAAGGTTATGCAAATTTTTTTATGTGCGTATATAAAATTAGTATATACCCTACATATATGTGTAGTAAATGTGTGAGTAATAAATAATAAAAGTACAGACTAGTAACTATCCTTTTGAATTTATGGCTAGGAGCTATTGTGGGCTGGAGTGATAGCACAGCGGGTAGGGCGTTTGCCTTGCACGCAGCCAACATGGCCGACCCGAGTTCGATTCCTCCGCCCCTCTCAGAGAGTCCAGCAAGCTACCGAGAGTATCTCGCCCGCACGGCAGAGCCTGGCAAGCTCCCCGTGACGTATTCGATATGCCAAACACAGTAACAAGAAGTCTCACGATGGAGACGTTACTGGGCCCGCTCGAGCAAATCGATGAACAACGGGAGGACAGTGACAGTGACAGGAGCTATTGTGGAAGTGGAGAATAATTGTGTCTTCTTTTTATTATTATTTTGAGGGTTTTTTTTATGTTTTTGGCCAGACCTGAGGTACTCAGTGAGCTCTACCACTGCTAGTAATACTGGGGGTGGGACCTGGGCCAGCCCTCACTGGACAGGTGTCTTGCCTGCTGTCCTATCCTTCCAACCCCCAAATTGTCTTATAACTTAAATTTTTTTTTTTTGCAAGAATGATCTGAATGATCTGATCATATCAAAATGTTAACATCTATAATGCCATAGTGGGTTCTTCTGCATGTGTAACATTTCATAATTTACAACTGTAAAGGTTTACTGTACCTCATTTTAGTAAAAACATTAAGTTCAAAGAAGAATGACTATTAAAAAATTTTTAATTATTAAATGTTTTCCACAATTTTTTTTATTGGCAGGCACAAGTTTAAGCAATGGCCTATACCTTGGTACCTAAATAAAAAATATAAAAGGAAACGATTCTTTGCATTGCCCTATGTGGATCGTTTTCTCAGGTAAGCAAAAGTACCCTTGATCCTAAGATACATATCCTTACAGCAGTTGCAAAGACAGAGCTTTTAAATGTGTTCGTTGTCAGGAAAAAAATGATTGGGGGTGGAGAGGTGGGGAAGACAACTAGTTTTACATAATCTTGTTTTTCTGTAAAAGCTACTTTGAACCCTTATGTGTTTTATTGCCTTGCTATATATCAGCATTTTGGAAGGGAATGTAAGGCTTCTGTTCTAAGAGACAGGGAAATGGTCATATGAGTCTCCAGGTAATTCTTCAGTGCAGTCTAACTCCAGTCTATTAAAATACTGCTTGTGGGTAATTTTCCTCAATTTTTACTTTTTCTTTCTGGGTCCTGGCAGTTTTAGGGTAGAATATGTGGTGCTGGGGACTGAACCGGGGCTGGCCACATGCCTGGTATAAGTCATCTCAGTTTCTGTGACCCTGATAGTTCTGGCATTATCAGTTAATCCAGTACACGGCTCATTTGAGTGGTTTAGATAAACACATCCCTTGGGACCTAAACTTCGGACACAAGGCCAGCCTGAAGAAAATCACACAGATCAACTCTGGAATGATGCTCTTAAATGACTGTAACCTGTCGAATAAAATTGGATTCCTTGAGCTCACACTATATCGTATGAAAGATCAGCTGGAGTGCAGTAGAAAATTAGAATCCGAGAAGTTATCATTTGCAAATTTGACTGTGATGTGACCCAAGAAATCAGCTGTACTAAGTTGAGGAACAAATCTCTCACGGCCCCGGCATGCTAATGGAAGCAAATTGTTTTAAAGGAAAGTGCTAAGTCTACCCAGCACCTAAAAGTCATCTCTTAGTGTAGGGTTTTTCTCTGCTATAGGGAAAATGATATGCTAAGCTGAGGGCTATTTCTAAAGAAGTTTTTAATTGTAGCTCAGGATGTAAAAAAAAAATGTAGTCAATAATATTAATGATAAAATAGTTTATCATCAGCTTTCAAGATCCAGTGGGACTTGGAAAAATTGATTAGGATTATTGATGGTTTTGGTAGCATGTTTATCTTTGACCTGACCTGTGTAGTGATTGTTCCAGTTAAGTAATATACATGACATCCCTAATAGAGACTGGCATGACTGAGGCCTTAAAAACAGTGGAGTTGGACATATTTTGATGTATTTTTTCACTGAGTAACAAAATGGGTTTTTAGGCCTTTTTATAAACTGTTATTCTTTTAATCATTCTAGACTGAAACTTGAGAAACAAATGCGCACCAGAGCAAGGAAGACAAGTTTAGAGAAAAAGAATCAAAAGTTTCTTCAGGAAAAGTTTCCTCTATCTGGAGCCCAGAAGTCAAGTGCTGTCTAAGATGTCTGGACTCTTAATTTACCACTGTTTTTCTCGAATAATAGTTGATTTACAAAAGCAAGTATGTTTATAAGCTTATAAAGAAACTTTTTAGTTAAATGAGAATTGTCAATTCTTTTGAGCATTGATACAGCATATTAACTCTAGAAGTGGTTGTTACTTCTACCAGACTTGGAGAAAAAAACCACATAAAAAAATCAGGGGCCAGAGCAACAGTACAGCAAGGAGGGCATTTGCCTTCTACACAGCCGCTATGAGTTCGATCCCTGGCATCCCGTATGGTCCACCATGTACGAACAGGAATAATTCCTCAGTGCAGAGCCAGGCGTGCGTGACCCCTGAGCACCACCAGATGTGGTTCAAAAAGAAAAAAAAAATCAAATTAAATTGACCATTTTCTAAATACTGATAACTAAGGAGGCTTCAGTATCACCTTTATCTTGGAGTGGTAAAATGATGTCACTCTTAACATAGACCTTTGGGTAGGTTTTGGAATTCAGGTAGCAGTTTTACTGTCATTGTTAGTGAAATAGAAAAGTATGGAAACTATTCCTAACATAAATGTTTGCGCTCAAAACAATGAGAAATGTAGGGTTTAAAGAAAAAAGTCATTGGTCTGGAGAGAGCGCTCAGCACACTCTACATGCGGGAGGCCTGGGCTTGAGCCCTAAACCACACACACACACACACACACACACACACACACACACACACACGCCCGCTCGAGCAAATCGATGAACAACGGGAGGACATACACACACACACACACACACACACACACACACACACACGCCGGCTTGAGCAAATCGATGAACAACGGGAGCACACACACACACACACACACACACACACACACACCCGCTTGAGCAAATCGATGAACAACGGGAGGACAGACCAAAATGTATTTCTGGAATGGCTAGTAATTTTTATTTAATTTTGCAAGTCTGAGGTAAAAAGCATAGGCAATAAGTTTTACTAGTTAATAAAAAGCAATTCTACCAATCCACTGTTAATTAATATACTAAACCAAGTTGAAAAGCATTTTACTGAAAGTAAAATATTTAGAGAAAATAGACATTTATACAAAATTATAAAATGCTTGTAATAAGTGCATTCCAAAGAAAGCACGAACTTATTTTTAATTTATAGAGCTAGGTAAAGCCTTAAAAATTTTTAAGTGGTAATTGGAATATGCAAAAATGTATAAACATTCTACAAAAGATGGTCATTTTTTTTCCTGAGTATACTAAAGCTATGAAACATAAGGTGACACAGGAGAGTAGAGATTTGGGGTCCTCAAGGGCATTTCCTTTCTACACACTGCTTCCCTCCTTCTTCATATTCTTGTTTGGAAATCCACATCTGCTGAAAGGTACCCTGAAAAATGGAAAGAAAAATTCATATATTATTGTCCCTAACTTTTCAACAGAATATGAGCTTTAATATCTTTAATTTTCACTACTCCTTAGTCTTTTTTGGTTGTTTGGGACCCAAGACAGCAGTCATGCCTGGGGCTTACTCCTGGCTCTGCACAGGGAACCGTATGGGGTAGCAGGGATTGAACCCTGGTGAGCTGCAAGATAGGTGCCCTACCTGCTATTACCATCTCCCTGGCCCCTACCTGGTAATCTTTGAACAGCTCTTAAATTCATTACCCAAATAATACTCTGCTCCTTTCTTAATTCTGTCCTCCAGAACACTGAAAGATTACTAGTAGTCTTGCATAAGGCTAGAAAAAAAAATAACTGACTACTAAAGTCTTCTTTTGTCTGTTATACTGTCATAATGACTTAGGAAATTGATGTGAAAAGAAAATGGAAAATTTAGCTATGACAGAAGGCTTGGTACCAACCTAAGGCAATATAAGCTGGTTTGCATCGTTTGTTTCACATTTGGGCTCAAACCCAGGACCTCAAATATACAAGGTGTGAGCTCTATTGCTGAACTACATTCTCTGGCCCTTACAAAAACTGTTAGGGAAGCGTGATTTGAGTACAGAAGGGAAATTCTAGCATTTGATTAATGGTAACATTCAGAACTCAAAAATGTGCATCAGAACTATGTCACGGTTTGTTAGAATACAAGGACCACACCAAACAAAAAGGGAAAGTTAAAAAAAAAAGATCAGAGGAAGGGGAACCTGCACTACATTCATAATAAGACATCTAAGTAGGGAAGATTCTTTCCCTACAATTAACTGTTACACACGGCATCCAGTTTTCAGCAGATCTACTAAAGTACAGAACATAAGTAATCTATAGAAAATTAACATTTAATAGCTGGAAACTGTTAAGCTGAAGTTCTTTATGATATTTACTTTGTCTGTTCTAAGGTGAAGGAAAAATGTTCCAAGACCAGGGCACAGAATAGCACAAAGACTTGTCCTGGTTAAAAACAAAAATGCATCTAAGTAACATGCAAAACCCAGAACCATGACTGCACCATTTGCCCCAAGAACCGATTCCTGACTTCTTCCTTATCAACAGCCAGGGAACAACCAAAACCAAAGAAGAAATGGCTTAATTTTGCTACAGGTAAGTCCTAACCAGTGTTAATGGCAGGATTAGTAGAAAAGACATGAATAAATTTTCTCTTCGAGTGAGAAGACTAGGTAAGACTTCATTCACTATAAGGCAATGAAGCACTCTTGTCATATTAAAACATTTAAAACTTGATACTAGGGCTGGAGCGATAGCACAGCAGTAGGGCATTTGCCTTGCACACAGCCAACATGGCTGACCCAGGTTCGATTCCCAGCATCCCATATGGTTCCCCAAGCACCGCCAGGAGTAATTCCTGAGTGCATGAGCCAGGAGTAACCCCTGAGCATCGCCGGGTGTGACCCAAAAAGCAAAAAAAAAAAAAAAAAAACCCCAAACAATTGATACTAGGCTATCATGACTAACAAATAAGGCACTGAATTATTTTTACCAGATTTGGTGTTTGCAATGGTATAATTAAGTTAAATGATTTAATAAGAATCTTTAGGGGCCAAAGATCTGGACCAGCGGTAGAGCACTTGCCTTGCATATGTAACATCCTAGGTTCAATTCTCAGCACCACCATAAAAGAAACACGCACGCACGCACACACAACTGCAAAGTTGTTTATCTACTAACCAAAGAAGCTAGAATGGAACCACCAATCCACGAACTAAACCTTCGTTCCACTGTTGTGTTATTCGCAATCAATTTCAACCGCATACTCTAAAACAGAAGGAAAAGTATTAGTATAATCAAGTAAAAGGTATCTCGTAAAATTCTCCTTTGATGGCTTCTTAATGTGCTACTCCAAACACTAAACAAAATTCTATAGAAGCTAGGTTAATGAACAACAGCACAGATAACTACTACTGCATATAAATGTTTTTAAAGTACTTAAGATTTAATGTATCTAATTACAGAAACTTTAGAAAACTACATTCACAATTTATATTTATATCCTACAGCAGCACTTGTGCTTAATGCTTAGTGTAAGTCAGGTCCTGTGCTAAATGTTCCATATTTTATTTCATTTGTTCCAGTGCCGTGTACAACAGTCCCAGTGGATCACCCTTTCCATCGTCCTCTTCCAAACTCGAATTTCATGCTGTTCATCCTTCCCAATCAGAACATAGATCTCAGTTAAGTTTTGATCATGCTGATTTCTTCCCAAATAGAGTGTTTTGATTTATACTTTCTCTTGATAAACAGTTTCATGGCTTCCTCTACCTTGGAATCTGCTTCTGATTCTCAAATTGTCAGTGCTTTCCAAGTCTACATATGGACAAGCAGTTTGAGTTTTTGTCCCAGTAAAATAAAGATGCGTGTGGCAGAAGTGAGACCAGGAGCAGGTGCCAGCACAAGGGATGAACCTGGGTTTTTGCAAGTGAGAAACTGGTCAATACCTATTGCAATGGGATTTGTCTGCTGTTAATTTTATTTTTAATTGCATCCTCCAAAGAAAGAAAAGTATCTAACTGGGCTGGAACAGACCTTCAGCACCCATGTCTACTTTTATTATTCTGAGATTTTCTTTGAAATCTTACTATAATAAAAGTATGCTCCACGGCAGGTCGCTAATAAATACAAGGTAGATGTAAAACTTGTGCCTACATCAGTATTTAGCAATTATACAAATGTGACACACGAAACCATTCCTTTATATAAGAAGTCAAAATACTTAGCAAATATGTAAAGTGTAAGGGCTACGTAACTTCCAATCTCCCCTTTAATGCAGAACACCTTGGAGAAAGATAATGACAGAAATTCTGAAAACCTAAAGATGACAGTCGCTAATAGTAACACACCACATAAACCACCTTCTCTTTAAGCCAAGTTCTAGCGTTTTGAATTCACAAAATATACCCAACAAACTCAGGAACTCTTTAGCATTAACTTTTTCTGTCGTGCTTGGGGCTTATACTCCTGTACTCAGGGATCACTCCTGGCCAGGACCAAGGGACCGTACGAGGTGCTGGGGACTGAACGCAGGCTGGACATGTGCAAGGCAAGCACCCGACGCTTTATACTATCTCTCCAGCTCCCAAAGCAAAACAGTTTTTACTGAAAGAAATTTGAACATGTGAGGGAAAAGGAAAAGATACATGTTGAGAGAGTGGAAAAAGACAGTATTCTACTGAATCATGTCTTGTAATTTTGCTGTTAAGAAATGGCATGGCCTGGTATATGTAGATTGAATTCTGTTCCCCAAAGAGGCTGAAGTTCTGGTACTCAAGAATGTGACCTAAATGAAATACAGGATCTCTGCAGAAGCAATTAAGATATAAGATGAAGGGTTGAAGACAGTACATCTGCAACGCAGACCTGGGTTCCATCAATTAGTACCACATATGGTCCCTGAAGCACAGCCAATAGTGCTCCCTAAGCACCACTCTGTGTGTGTGTGTGTGTGTGTGTGTGTGTGTGTGTATACATACATATACTTTAAAAATATATATATGTATATATATATAAATAGCAATGTGAAATGAGTAAGGCGATTAATATAAAGTTCATCTGAAAAATAAAGGGAAGAATGAAATGCCGAACTGGAGAGAAGGGGAAAAGGTGCTTGCCCTGCATGCAATTAACCCAGGTTTGAATTCCTAGCACTTCCTCTGGCCCCCATGCACTGCCAAGACTCAACCCTGAACACAGAACCAGAAAGGACCTCGAGCATGGCCATATGTGGCCCCA